GCACAACTGGCTGACTGAATAATAATAATTAGAGTGCCCTTCAGGAACGACGCGATAATCCAGTACTACATTAGCCCCCAGAGAACTGAGGGAACCTTGAATTCACCAGATGATATCAGCCCTCCCCCCACTCCACAGGGACAGGGGAGGGAGGCCTCCCTCAGCACCAGCAGGACAAAGGTGAGCGAGACCTTGACCCCCCGACACACCTCAGCTTCTGCTCTTCCTCCTGCACAAAATATTTTGGACTTTTTTGCCCGAACTGTATTCTGAGTTCTCGAATTTCGACATTTCGCAGCACCGCTTCTTGCCCTTTCCTTGGAATTTCGCGACTTAGTGGTAGGAGAGATCTGTGCTTTCTACGAATTCGGCTAGGCTTTGCCCTCTTTTGATTCAGTCCTCGCACCGATAAATCAGGCAAAACAAACCTGGAACGAGAATCTTCCCTTCCTTGCTCTCTGCTTCTTCATATTGGAAGACAGATGAGTTGTACCAAGAATACATGATCAAAACTGGAAGAGAACTGAATTCTGGAAACTGAAAACTGGAACAGATTATAATCTCAACTTATTCACAATTCCTTTTCTAGTTCCTTACATCTTACATAAACACACATCAACTAAAATTAATTAAAATACCAAGACATGCCGTTATACACTCAGAAAATAAAAATTAAATTCTCAAATAAGCAAAATTCCCTTTTAAAATTAAAAAGAAAAAATTTGCGCGAAAGTACCTCAGAAGAACAAGGCAGATGAACGAACACTGCGAATTTGAACATCGGAAGATTGGTTCCACTTCCAGATATCCACACAGTGTGCATCCAAAATTACCTGTCATAAAAATAGCCCGAAAAAAAACCGACCTTTCGCGCACGGATTTCTCCAGCCGAGAAGTTTTCTCCCTCACTTTACAAGGGAACACAACGTTTTTTCCGGAATCACTGCTGCTGCTGCTGTTGCTGTTGGTCGGTGAAGTTTGACGGAGAATGACCGATGAAGATGGCTCGGTACGGATGGATTGCGGTAAAGAATTGTGGACGACAGCTCTGACCGTTGGTGACCGATGCCTGAATGAAGTTCCTGACGTAGATGAGGAATGTCCATAAGTCTCTTTCGTTACACTGCAACAGAACCTGGTGAAAAGCGGGCCATGTTCCGGATACGCCGCTTCCTGGTGGATCAGATCAGCAACTTGCAGCTGCCACTTCCTCAGTTCGCCTACAAGCGGCTGCAAGTTGCCACTGCCAGATGTAGATACCAGTAGATGAAGTTTTGCTGGAGATGAATGGATAATGACAGGACTGACGATTTGCGGTAAAGACGTGAGCACTGCCTTCGTACCAGAAATCGCTACTTATATACGGCTCATCGGAGTAGATAAAGGAGGGCATGGAATGAAGGGATTGTAGGTAAAGGTTGTCAAAATGGGGCAACTGCAGGTGACGGAAGGATCCAGAAGAAAGTAAGGAGGTTCCAAATGATGGATGTTAGTAAAGATTTTTTCGATACAATAAGTATAGAAAATTCTGGATGTACGGATTGGAGTCAAAAATTTGGGATTTTTCGGGTTATTGGATTACAATTTGGAAAAATTCCAGAAATGACGAATTACAGAAGTATGAAGTGGAGAATTTGTGTAATATGGGAAGGTTCGAAGTGAAGAAATTGTGGAGGTGCACAGTACGGAGATTGTAAGAATTAGTCCGGAATGACGGGTTTCTGGGTAAAAAAACAAAGATAAAGGTAGTGCTGGATAAAGATAAATAAAGATAAAGATAAATAAATAAAATAAAGATAAAGATAAATAAAGATAGTTTTGGAAAAGCGAAATGTATGTAAGGAAAAGATTCAGAATAAAGGGCTTCGAGCCGTAAAAGGGTCCAAAATAACGAACCCAAACAGAAGAATCTGGGATGACAAAACAACAACTATAAAGGAATCTTGGAAGGAGAAAATGCAACCAAAACACGAACTGGAGCTCCACAAATTTTAGAACAGAGAATTGTAGCTTAAAAAAGTTCCAAATAGCAGTGGAAATAATACTAGTAACAGCAGACATAGGTAAAAACAATAATAATTAGTAATGGTAAATAGTAATGATAATAGTGATAATTAGTAATGATAATAATTAATAATGGTAGTTAAGTAATGGCAAATAATGAGAAAAAGCACTGATAATAACAATATAACAATAGTAGTAATAAAAATAGTAAAGATTATACATATCATAAGTTTGAAATTGTTTTAAGCCGAAATGTGATAGAGGAAAAATGAAGAAAAAACGATGAAGTTATTTGAAAACAATATTACTGGTAATGGTAAGAAATGTATATGACTCTTAATGAAC